TCTATACTATCTTATCTTTATTACTTTTCTTTTATATCTGTCTCTGCTCAAAAGTTCAACAATCTTCAGTACTTCAGACTGAGTCTTGAAATGTTTTCAGTCAGTAATATAGTCCAGCCCACTGTCGACAAAAGGATTTCCCCTTTTAGTAGAACAAGGTGATTGCAATTAACCATATGAATAGCTAATCACCTTGTTTCATTGATTTTAAACCAAAGAAAGTGGGAAAGCATTATGGCATTTTATAAATCACCTATTGCAACAAAACAACAAATGCTAGCCTGTAACTAAACTTGTAGTATGTAACTGGCTGATGATGAATATCAGGTGAAAAATTAGCATAATCCACACCTGAACACTAATAGTGCAATGTTTTTGTGCTGATGGAAAATCAGCAGTGTGAGAAAGGCCATTTATAATTTACACATGGTTGCTAAATCTAGATGTAAGGTATTTGTACTATGAATTGGAGAATCACACTTGTAGGGCATGGGATGGCAGAACCTGGGGAAGGAGTGAAAAGGGAGATCAATCTAAAAACCGTGCAACAGGGGTCCTCAACCCCAGGCCAGCACCGGGCTGTGGTATGCCAGAAAACCAGGCCATGCAAACAAGCAAAGCTCCATCTGCGGGAAGCAGGCAACACATGCCCCCTCCAGTCCACAGAAAAACCTCTCTCGGCAGAACCTGTCCCAGATGCCCAAAAGGTAGGGGGCTACTCCCCTACAGAGCTACAAGAGAACTAAGTTCTTGTGTGTCCTTGACCCTTAAGCAGGTGCCAACCGTTAGTTAAAATTCCTGTGCATAGGCTTTTAGCAACAAATCAGTTTAATTGAACCTTCGTGTGTGGACTTGTCTTTCATTCCTAACACAGTACAGTTTTTATTCAGACATCACAAATGATCCTTCAATAGTAAGTGATCTGGAATCAATTTATTTGCTTTTCCCCTTGAGCATCTTTTCAGTTTAAGTGCAAACCTGGACTGAGACTTTTAGCAGCTAGAGTTCACCAACTATCTTCATCTTCTTTTGTGTGTATCAAACATTTTAATGATATGAAAAATATTACTCTCCATTTGGACAAGTGACTTTTTTCCCCTTTTCCTATAAGATGTCACTTATGGCAATTATAGGCAAACTAGTCAATTGCAAACAGTCCAACACATCTGAAAAAAACAAAAACCTTTCCTTTTCACTTGATATTTATCTAAGTATTTGCCAGTCAAATCCAGACAATAAACTGTAGACAATAATATCTTGCTAAGTGGAGATGCAAAATTACTTGAGCAAGCAAGCAAAAAGCAAAAACAAACCAAAAGCAGAACTAATCCTGGAACATCACGATCACCATCCTCCAAGTCATTAGCTAGTTTGACGTGGTGGAAAATTCCTCCCTGACCCCAAATATTGCAATCAATAATGTTCTAAGCAAAACTCATTCATCAACTTTTTTCCAAAGGAAGATTTACTCATGTATAATTTTAAGCCATTTAATTGCTTCTTGCTATGGAAACAATTGATGCCTTAAAATAAACGGCTAATTTTATTTCAGATTTGTCTCTAAATGAACAGTTAAGCATTTTTCCACTAAAACCAATAGCACTCAAGTTTAGACAGTTTATATTGCCCAAACATCATCTCAATGTACAGGCCATTAAACTTGCACCAGATCTGATAGATATATTAGAGTCAATTTCATTACTTTTATGACACACAAAAATGTGAATAGGTGTAGCAGGGAAATCTAGGTTAACTATTGAATTGTATCAAGTTAAATGGATCAATGTCCACTTTATACTTCCCTGTAATTGGTCTTCCTATTTTCAATGTTCCAATCACATGCAGAGAACCTAAACACATACATATCAGCAAGGTGACTCTGTTTCTCACATCTATAGATTTTAAATTTAATTGCCTTGACTCTGGTGACTCATGTTTCTACCCAGATTCTTAGGGGGAAGGAAGGGAGGGAAGGAGGAAGCCTTAATTACAGTACCTAGGACCATGTAGATGTCAGGAAGGACCTTAGAATAGTGAGCTGTTTCAGAGTATTAGCTACCAACCAATTTTTCTTAGAAATTGTTTCCTCTTCTAATAGAGTAAAGCAGGTAATGTTGTCATAAATTACAGCGGTGTGTTGAAAGCAAGAGAACAAATCGAAGCCCTCAAACTTGTTTCATTTTGCCCATAGCTTAGCTTTACAAGCCTCTGCAAGAAGCTTTCTCATAGAATAGGCTTCCCTTTCTCCAATGTTTTCTGGAGATGGAAAGATAAAAGCAAGAAAAAAGAAGAACAGAAAGAGAGAGAGAGAGAAGTAGCAAAAAGCAAGAAAGAAGGATCAATGTTTCCATTCAATTTTGCTTCTAGTACCCCCACCGCAACTGCCACTGAGACATGACTGCAAACCAAATGTGCTGTTTAACATAAAAGAATAAAGAAAAGATGTACCTAGTTTAAGAAATAATTATCCAAACCCAAACATATGTCTTGTTTGAATTGGGTGGTTTTATAAATCTTAAATATAGATAAATAGGTAAAATGTGTTGTAGCACCACTGTGCTCTTTGGGTGAGCTGGAAAATATCTATTATTTATTCTTCTTCTCCATAATCACTTGCAGTTTCCCACAGAAATGGAAAGGTTCTGCTTGAGTTTCTAATAACTTCACTCATGAGTATATTTTCTTTCTAGGAGATTAAGAACAGAACAGTGGAATAACAGTTATCCAGTTTTCATATAATGGACTCCATGAGATTGGAGATTTCATTTTAACTCTTTCATTATGCAAAAATGTCTTTCGGATAACGTGCATCTTTTGTCACTGTATGTGTGTAACACACACACACATATACATCTATTCATATATATGCACACATGGACTTTATTCTGTGTACCAGAAACAAAGAAAATATTGGAATGATCCCAACATGTTCTTAATTGTCTGAATTTTTAAAGAGTCAAACAGGTTTTGAAAATTTTTTGAGAATCTATAAAATAGTTAAATTTATGTTATTTATCTCTCAGTACCTTGGCGCAGTCTGATTCAAGGTTTAGTTTTCTGCTAATAACCAGAGGCTACTGACTGTCTACATTAGCTAAACGTCACTCAGGCTGTAAAATTGAAGAAACTGAGTTATCTGTAAAATCAAGCAAAGAAAAAAAGTTTGTTGCCACTCTTGGTTGATGATTGTTACATTGCCTTGTTTCTTTGCTTGAACAATTTTAAAAGGTCTGTTTGAACCTGTTTGAACCAAGCCTGACTGTACAGCATGAACCTTGGACATTTCTGGGTACATCTAGGCCAAAATTTAAAATCTGTGCAGGCTTCAAACATGAGTTTATGATTTCTTTCTAGGTCATTCCAAGACCAACACTGATACATTGTTTTAGATTGGGCTGCTTTGGGCTGCATTTTGGTCACCAATGAACATTTAACCAACAATGTAAACAATTTGATTAGAGATCCTGTTATTATTTTTTATCATTGGTTCTCTAAATCTGCTGGAAGGAGGGAGTGGATGAGACTTCAACAACGTTTGGAGATCCTGTGTGTGGAACAACTAAAGGACACGAGCAGCTTGGCAGATACATGCAGGGGCTGGGGGGAGGGAGGGAAGGAGGGAGGGATTATTTGTTCAATAATGCTACAGGATGCCTTGCCTGAAAGGTAGAGAATAAAATAAGTATGCAGAATTAGAATTAAAAATTTAAGTTGTAGAACTCTGGGCTTTTAAAACTTCAAAATGCAAAGTTGCTGTTACGATTATCTTGGGTGCTTCCCAAAAAGAAATGCCATATGCATGTAAAAGGTTAACACATCAGGGAGACCTGGACTACATTTTTTCATAACATGCTATCCTATTAAGTGGACAGATATTTTCAAATTTTGGCATATAAACAAAAAAGCATTGCTTAACATTTGTCTCATGAGTGGCTAACCTAAGACCAAAATATTTTGTATTATCCTCTACAATATGTAATGGTTCTTAAAATGTTCAAGGCCCATCAATACACAGTGAATGGATAGAATTAACTCACAGTGTGCATGATTGGGATGTCATGACATCATCTATGCTTCCAGAAGTGCTGTGACCACAACAGCCATGCTGATTGGAAATTCGGCAAGTTGTAGTTCTGTGATAGCCTGAAGTTACTTGGTTTGGAAAAGTTTACACAGTATTATCAAATGTTATTTCCTGAGTTTGTTACAATAGATGGCTTGAATCACCAACACATTTGAAATCAAGTCAAAATTCAAAATTAATTCCAATGGAATTGAAAAGACACAATTAACAATAGTTAAATATGATATATTTAAATAGGGGGTATAAATTCATGTTTCATATTACATATTTTACATTCTTAATCTAGAATGAAATTGAAAATAATTTGCCTCTAAACTGGTTTAAGCATATAAATAACTCAAAGGTTTTAAAAAGTTGAAATTCATTAATGGCATTTACAGCTTAGATTTCACCTTTCATAAGTATGAAATTAAGACATCAACGTTTTCCAGATAAAATGCTGCCCTTGTTACAACTAGCACAGAAATCTTGCAGAAAATTTCCTTATTCATCTAAGGAATAATGCTTCTGCTCAAGTTAAGAAATGCATCCATTAAAACTTATTTGAGAAAATAAAATAAATGCACATGATAAAATGAGACATCTCTTCACAAATCAATGTCACATTACAGTTTTGTATTTGACACCACTTTCCAGAGACATCTCCAAGATCAGTAACATGTCATCTTCAAGGAATAATGTGTTCTTTAAAGAAAAGAAAAGAAAAGAAAAGCCCTGCATATCTTTACTATTCTTTCACAACCTGAATCTCATCAGCATTCAGCAGGCATTCCTTTTCAGGATTGTTTACATAAACTTCAAAAGATTTTTTTAAAAATCATTTGTTAAAGCAAGTCTTAATATAACAATAAAACTATGCAGAATGTTTTCACTATCGTTAAATAATTTTGCGTTCCTTTTCACAATTATCTCTTACCTGTAAAGGAGCAAAGCTCAAGTTCCTTTCATGTATTTACTTTCATGACAAGCCTATAGTCCTTCATGGAAAGTAGTAAAGTTTATATGAAGACTTTCAAAAGCCCTCCTTTTTCTCCTTTACCCACCCTTAACTCTCTTTGCATTCACTGTCAGTCAAAAACAAGTTGGTAAGAATAGGATTTAGAATTACCTGAATCAGTGGGAGGGGAGGAATTTGAGAGGAGACTTTGTGATGTCAGCAGTATGTCTTAAGGAAACCTATTGCAAAGACCAGGAAACAATATAATTCCTTTAGAATTAAACACCCTTCTATGAGTTTAGCAAATACCTGCTTCAGAATAAACTGATGTACTTTTAGAAGATATCTGTTAATCTTTGAAGAAATTTGATCAAAGTCCTTTCAAGGATCTTATTGCCCAAATAAACAAGGAAAAATGCTTAAAATAATTCTTAACATCCCTCTTGAGAAAGACAGAATAATAATGAATCATGAATACTTTTTTCCTTAAAAGAAGGGTAAGTTGATTCTGAAACAAGTCATATTTAAAATTTTGGAGTAATGGTATCTTATTATAATCCTGTAGAGCAGCTGATATGCTGAGATACCAGTGGTTCTCAGCTGATTACTGGAACCATTGTTTCCAGCTCATTTCTCATGAGTTATTTCCTTTGTTATTTACAAGACATCACAATTAAAAAGTACAGAGGGGAAAAAACATTATATTTTGCCTCACCTAATGGTTCCAGTAAATGTTATGCACTTTGGATTTTGAGAGGTTTTCCAGAAGTATCAATATAAAGTAAAAGGGGAAGCACATATTGCTCAAAATAATCTAATTGGGAAACTGGTCAGTAATACATTTCCTCTCTCATATTAATTCTATATTAAATTGTTTTCTGTTCATAAACTGCTGTTTTTCAGGCTTAAGGCTTAACAAGGAGAAAAATACATTGAGAAAGAATATATTACTAACATGATCAATCAGGGCAAAATTTGGAAGTTAATCAAAATAAATAGAACTTAACAGGCTTTCTCAAACTGGTGCCCTTCTGTATGGATAAGATAACTGATGTATAAGACAACAAGTCCTACAGCACACAGGTAGTCCTTAATTGATTACCATAATTGGGAGTGGAATTTCCAATGCTAAGTGAAGCATTTGTTAAGCTAGTCACATCTCATTTTATAATCTTATTTGCTGCAAATCACATGGTTTCATTTTTCATAAGCCTGAAATTAGAAAATCCAGCTTTCCCGCTGAGTTTGCTCATCAGAAGCCAGTTGTGAAAATCTCCAGTGACAATCAGATGATCCCAGGTTACTGCAACTGTCGTTTAAATACATGCCAGTTACCAAGCCCCTGAATTTTGACCACAGGATCATGGGGACACTGTGACGGACTTAAGTGTGAGGATTGGTTGTAAGTCCCTTTTTTTTAGCACTATTGTAACTCCGAACAGTCCCTAGTGACCATAAGGTGAGGACTACTTACATGCTGGTTTCCCAGCTGCATGCTATTTAGACTGGTACAACTGTCCTGTTTTCTTTGATTGACCAATAATAATAGCAAATTATATAGCATCAAGAATTCAGAGGGAGATAAACTCTTTTGTAAGAAAAATCTCTGCAAAGAAAACAAATGCCAGGAAAACAAATGCCAGGAAAACATCACTTCTTTCCAGGACTGTATCAGCAAAGAGACATGAATAATATCATTAGTATGCATCCATAGGAACCTGGCAGTCTGGACTACTGCTGTTTTTATGGTGAAATATACTGATTGTGCCAAAATAAGCAGCTGTCTTAAATTTATAAAGATATAAGCATATTGTGACTCCCTCCCTCACTTTACCACTTGCTTTGTCAGACTCAGAAATATTGATACCATTCACACATGTTCCTCATCCAACCTCTGAACAGACTGGATTTAGCCTTTCTAAGAGCAAGAGGTAGACAATGTAAACTATTCTTTAAAATGGTACAACAACCGCAAGCCAGGATTTTCCACACTACTGTTTCAAGATTCTACAGTGTATCTGTGACAAATCAATTTTAATGTATAATAATGAAAAAAGTAAGAGAATGTTCTGAATATTTCAAATTGATTATTTAAATGAAGGAAAAAATTACGTTGGAAAAAGACACAGATGGAATAAGTTATTTGGCCAGAAAGAAGGGATTCATATTGGTTATAGGAACTGTAAAATTCCCCAAAGATTGATGGGGATTGATCTGGTATATGATTGATTTGTTCTGTACATGAGAAACCTGGATAATGGGTTCTGGAGCCAATTTAGCAGTCAGAACATTCATAATCAATTACAAGGTAAAGAAAACTTTATAAGGTTAAAAAAAGTTGATCCTTTAAAAGAAACACTCAAATATATATGTTTATCCCTGATATAAAGAATGGGTGTATGAAGTTTATTTATTTTATTTATTTATTCGGTTTGTCAATCGCTTACAAGATAATAGGTATAAGAATAAACATGAGTATGAATACAGGAAATAGGTATGAATAAATGGGGACAATAGGATGGGGACAGTAGGCATGATTGTGCGCTTATGCACAATCATGGTAGCACAATTATAAGTAAAGCTATTTACAATTATTATTGCATTTCTTATAGTCAGCATTATGTGGAATTTTGATTCCTGGTTAATGTCCTCTATGCTGTGATGCCATGAACTTGTGTACTTATTTTTCCTATCCCTCACCAAGCTTACTAATGGCAGCCATCAATATAGTGTGGTGGAGACATCAGCTCATGGCATACAAAATTTAAAAAGCACCCCATCTAGTCAAATGCTGCACTATAAGATAATTTGAAGCTGAAATTGGGACCAGAGTGCAGCTATCCATTCAGCATTACTGGTTCAACAGAAAAACACCTGTGGAACTCCACTGTTTTCAAGTTACAATGTCTATGTCCAATTTCAGATTTTGGTAATACTGCATAAAACTTTTTATGTCTTGGGCCTTTGTCATCTTTAAGGCCATCTTCTTCAATACAATCAGCCCAGCCAACATGTCATAGTTGGAAGTCAATGCTGCAGGTGCCCATTTCTAGAGAGATGAAGCAGAATGAACAAGGTTATTCTCAGCGGTCTCCCCCGCTCAATTTGGAATTCCTGAAATTGCCTTTTAGCCTTCTTCCTTAGGTCATTCAGGGATTAATAGTTTAATTAAGACAGCAACATTTATTGCTGATTTTAATATATGCATGCTGCATGCTGCCTAGAGTAGATACCATACAAATATATAACAATGTGGTCTATATGTTCATAAAATAAACTTAGCCACATGTATATTTGGTTGATCTTTCAAAGCTAGATTTTTTTAGTTTGGGGTTTTTATATATATCTAGAAAACTGGAATGCTATAGTCTGAAATAAAATAACACCTAAAATAGCAGACATTTAGCTTTAATGTCCAAAAGAAAGAATAAGGCAGACTACTATAGAAGTCTGCCAAGAAAATTCACTGTTTATAGCAAACACTTTTGTCTAACAATCTAGAAAAAATTACTTAATGTATGTTGATAGATGGACAATACAATACTGAAATCAGTGAGTATAGTGTCAGTAACTAACGCTTGCAAAAATTACAAATAAAATAATTAGACCAAAAAACACCATAAAAAGCAGCTATATATATCATATATCATGTGATCATATGATTAGCAGTGAAAATAAAGGATAGATTAAATGGAATTAATGATTAATAAATAGAGTATTCAGAGAAGTCTCGAGTAAAATTTGGACATCATTAAACAAAATGCAAACAAAATGCAAAAAGCAAAAGAAGACAAAATGACTATCTATTGACATGTTGGTAATACATGAAGAAAAGCAGAAAAAATACAGCAACAGACGGAGAAAAATGTGCCCAACTAAACACTAAATTCTAGAGCAAAACATCTAAATAAGTGATTCAAAGAAATTAAAGAAGGCACTAAATGGGAAAGATCAGAGATTTATTTAAGAAAATTACAGAAGCCTGTAAAAATAAATTATATAATAAAGACAAATAAAGGTAAATATTTATTGAGAAAAAATGTATCAAGAGACAGCTTGAAAGAAGGACTGTATAAAAATGATCCCCAAATTGAACATACATACAACAGTTGATCACTGGATTAGAATTAGATATTCTAAAAAATTGGCATTAAATGCATTCTAGAAAATTTTACTAGCAAAACTTAATGAAATACTGACAGAATTGTTTAAATTCACAAAAGATTTTGCTCTTAAAATGCTTAACATTTTTTATGAGCAGATAAGGAAAACTGAACAGTGACCAAGAGACTGGAAGTAATCAATTTATATTCTAATATCCCCAGGGGGAAAAAGGCAGTGCAAAGAATGTTCAGATTACCAAATAGAAGGCTTAGTTCATTTTCTGGTAAAATAATGCTCAAATTTTGCAGTTCAGACTTCACTAATACATGGAATTAAACTCCTAGTTGTACAAATCATACATTCTAATAACTGATGACCAATTGAAAAGGTAGCAAAGTTCTAGAACAATGTGTATTTTTGGTCTATTGATTATATAAACCCTTTTAAAATAGACGTTATTGACTGGACAACACTGAATCAGATTAGATCTCCTCTGAAATTGATATTTTTTTATTCAGTCACCAAAAACAAGTCCTGGTACTGTCTTCGGGTCAAAGCTTCTTTCAAAACAACAACATATTTTAATGTATACATTTACTTTCCTATAATATTGCAGTCTCAGTACACCCCTCAGCAGAGATAAAGTATCATTCTATCATCCAAATTCTTCCCATTTAGTTTACTAAAATAAACAATATATTCTTATCAGGAAAGCTTTCGTAGATCAATTAAAATGGCCTTTGTTCTTGCTTCTGTCTTTATCATCATCAGATAGAGAAGGAGAAAAGGAAAGATTATCAAACCTTCCAAAATGAACTTAGATGGTTAAGAACCTATCTCAAACTAACTTAAAATTAAGTTAGTGATTTTTGCATACTGGGAGTCTCACTATATGTGTCAGTCATACATTAAAAGAAATTATTTCCTTTTTAAAAAAGGAAACAAAGAGGTCTGTGAAGTTTGTGATTCTTGAACTTGAAGACAAAATGGTTATGAAAAAGCGCTTCCAGAGTAGATTTTTTGGAGCCTCTTTTTTGTATATGA